ATTATAATTCTTAATAACACTAGCTCAAAAACGAAATTTTAATTAGTTGATTTTTAATAAGAAGTGTTTTATAATAAATTAATTTTTGTATTCGAATATGGCTGAAACTGTGTGCTTCTTTTTAAATGTACAGTACAGGACACGAGATGTGATTTTCAATTAATTCGTTTTTGGAATACAGTTTCACAGATTTTATTAAACATTTTTTCGAGCATTTTTCATTTAATATGAAAGAGGACATAATGGATATTTTTAACATTTAATGGAGCATACATAATTCAATATTATACTGTCTCGTCGAAACGTTATATTTCAGGTTAATATTTGGTAAGGTGAAATATGGGTAGATACAAATGACACAAATTAAATAATATTATCAACTTGTACGTAGACTAAATTTTAAAATTTAACCTACAAAATCCTTAATGGGTAATATTTTGTGTTAAATTCATGTTTGATCGCATATAACAGACGAATATACATGAACTGTGAATATTTTTTAATGTATCTACAATTGTTGTGTACCTATAATTTATATATATACACGTACAGGGTGATTTTTTAAGCACTCTCGCCCTATTTCTATTTTTAAATGATGCATGTATACAAATAATGAATTTTGGAATATTAAATTGCTCGTCTTAAAGACCTATTTAAGACTAAAAGTTTGGTTTTTGAGTTGTATAACTTTGAATATACTAAGAAAATTATGTCAGTAGATGTGGGTCTTAGACTATTTTAATATGTTAGTAATTTTTAAAAATTGTCTATCGATGTATATAATTTGTAAAACTAATCAAATATAATATTCCATTAAGTTCATATCTTTAGTAGGTATAAACATTTTAATAGCTAAGAAACTACTCATTAGGATTTTGGTTTCGATACATCAAAAATTTAAGTTAAAAGGGGGGGGGGGGTGATTTAAATTTGAAAAATAGAAATTTCCATCTCCACAGGACACTCCTCAAGTAAAATAAAAAATTTTAAGAATTTTAAAAAATCAGAACTCGAATAAATGTACTATATTCAAAGGAAAAATGGGGGTGAACATGCTTAAAAAATCACTTTGTAAATTATATATTTTATTATACTCACAATAGTTATTTAAAAACGTATTTCATTAAAAATCTATATGATGTATGTTCAACGTGATCATCACAAAGGAAAAAACCGGAGCAAAAATGATGAAAATGTACATTTTTAAAATACAGTTCACTCACTTAGTTTACGTTATTTGTTTTAAAGTTTAAACCATATTTATAGAATTTAGAATTTATAAATTATTAATAATCAATTTAGTTGAACATTGTAATATCCGTTTTGATATAATTAGTTATTATTAAATATGATAATAATAATATTACGTAGTGTTTTCGCAATAATTCGTCATCTCCAACGTAACAATATTTACGTACATTTGTCATACTTTTACAGCTGCAATAATGGTTTAGTTTTTTTCCCCATGTTGTACATAATATAAGCCCTGACCGTTCACTTTTTTTCTCTAAGCCCAAGTCTAAAATTGGCCAGGCGGCGCGGGGCGTTAAAAACGCTTCGCTGAGCAAAAACCTAATACAAAAAGGGCAACAACGAAGTAAAGACCATTGGCATAAAAAAATAAAAAAAAATACCTACTATCGATAAATATTGCTAAATGTCAGTGGACAAAAATCCCTAAGACCGTTTTGTCATCATTGCGGCGTTGTGTGTGACACATTTTTAAGTACATTTGTACCTAAATCAATATTTTTATAAACATAATTGTCAGATAAAATTCGACCCTTTTAATATACGGCACCGTGAACTTTACAATTCGTCGGCTGGCTCACAGACATGTTGTTATATTTTATATCAAATATTGTTACACATTAGTACATTGTTGACGACCATTTTATATTTATTTTTCTTGTTTTTTTACGAACACTCTAGCTAAATGCGTTTGATTGGTAAGGGTGAAAGACATAATATCTGAATGCTCTTCTGAGAATATAAACCACCACAGTAGATATTTACCTAAAGTAGTTGCAATAACAAAATATCGTACTATTTTCGAATATTTTTTAGCTATATATAGATTATTAAATTTATTGTTCAGCTATGATGGGTGTTATTGTCAATAAATAGGTTACCATAGATAGGTACTTACAAATTACAATATTATTGGACCCATCAGAAGAGTATAATGTTATTCAATTTAAAATTATACCATATTACCATCGCTAAAAAAACTGACTGATATGCCACATTAAAATGCATTTTTTATCAAATAAAGATGCTTTATTGAGACAAAAAATATATTTCAAACGTTTGATATTAATTTGTGTAATATCATAATAAAGTTATATGTTTTTAAAATTGACTAGATTGTCACTCTCGAGAATTTCCCAAATACCTGGATTTAAAAAGTTTATTTTAATATAATTTTTTCATATTTTAAGAGGTATTTTTAATTTTATGTTAAGCTTATATTCTAAAACATTTTTTTGTTTTACAATCAAGAAGTCCATTTCGAAATAAATATTTGCTAGAAAATCCAGTGAAATATGTGAGTCGTTGTAATATTATATTACTATAGTTTAACTATTATTGATCATCAATCGGATGTTTAAGTTGATATTTAAGAAATTCTGTACAAAGCCTGAGTCAAGAGACTTACGTATTTAATTATTATTGTTGGATGTAGCTACAACGCAGCAGTGTAATTATACGAGATTAATAGATATCGTAGATATATTTTGCTCGTGTAACCACTGAATATCAATATTATTCTGAGGTATATAAGCGCTGTGACGAGCTTTAAGCTCCACATGGATATTAACAATTGCCAATTTTATCAATTAACTTGGACTATTTAAAACTATATTAATTAGGTACATAATTAAATATTAGTTTACTATTCATCTATAGCATTTATGTACCTATGTTTTGATACACCTTATGATTTTACAGCCTAATAATTGAAATATATAAAAAGGCCATGTGATTGTAAATATTGTGGACAATTATGATAACGTACTCTCAGACAAATTCTACAAAAATTCCCAAATATTAACCATAGGAATTTTTTGTAAAATACCATCACCAACGATGATTTTTATTTTAAAATATCATCCCAATAATGTTGTTGAGGCAAGTATTTCACCTGCAAACTAAATTTAAGTTGATATTTTAAATAATTCAAATATACCGAATACTCCACTTACGTGTGCGAATTGGAATTTCAGGGTGCACATTTTAACATCCATCATAATAATGACTATCATAATTGATTTAACACTATTAGGTTTAATTTTTTATAATTTAAATAAATAATTGTATAAAGTTCCAATGGAAATACTCTGTGCACCATCGACCACCACTCATGGCTCAACGCACATCCTACATAGTTATATATAAGTTTATTTTAAACTCATATTATTTAACTTTGTGTATTATAATATTTTATAAATACATTTGAATATTTAATCTAAATAAGTCATTAATAATTAAAATAAATGGTTAAATAAATAGTAGGAAGATAATTGACTCTTGTCAGTCGTTCGATATCAAGGCCTCCAAGATGGAATGAGATACAATTTAAAAATTAAAGAATTTTAAACTTTACTTTTAAAGTGATAATTAGGTAATTTATAATTTTTAACAGAATTGGAAACTGTTTTTACTAAAGTATACCACTCCAAGTACCTACGTCACCGTATGCGTACTGCATTATTACCAGTGACATGAACCATTACCATTTCGGTGGTATCTACCTGCACAACTATATCATAGTCTACGACGGACCCGCCGGTATCGACGTACTCGGATACGAAATATTGTACAGACTCCGACAATATAATAATAATAATAATAATAATAATAATAATAATAATACACTCGGTACGACAAGTCGTTTGCATGAACATTATTATTTTTGATGTACGGTGTGACTTGCCGCACTGACGTGTCGATGCCGATAAATAAACAAAAGTCTAAAGTTTGCATTGTTATGGCGATGAAATGAGCTCGGCAGCGGCTCTGTTACAGGGTATAAAATAATACCTACCTATATTATTATTATTACCATGATATTGCAGAAGAGGCTGTTAACACGACGTCAAATTATATTGTGTCGCGTTCTGATGTTTTGATAGTTCACGACAAAAGAGGGACGAATAGGTAGGTACTTACAACGATGCGTATTATTATCATGACGTTATCGACGACAATTTTTACTCGTATAATGATATTATGACTCCACGTAAATAAATAACTACGTAACAAAACGAATACATCGATGTTTCAATTATTAATAAATTAATAATAATAATTACTGTCATCGTTTAGGGATCGAAGTTTAAGGCAATTAATATATTAAATTATTTTACAATAGTAAATAATATATTAATATAATATATATATTAATTACATATATTATACAACGTGATGCAGTATTTTTTTTTTTATTGTTCTTAAAATACATCGGCTACAAAGGCCATTAGTTACAGTTATTTTTTTTTACATATGTACATTTAGGTTAGTTCAGATATACTTAAAAATAATGCATTGTTTGTGATTGTTTCGTATGGATGTGTATCGTGATACCGTTTTTCACTAAATTTATTTGAGTAGGTCAGTACTTCTTGTGATACACTATGGTTGATAAGTGATTCATAATTTAATTCATATTATAGTAAAAATTATTGTTATTATTATTAATTTAATCTTATAGTATTTATATACACTCGACTATACTAGGTAGTTTATAAAAAACATTTTTAAATAAATTGTATATGATGTGACTTGTGAGTTATGAGTGTTACTAATTTATTTTAAAACATTATACACTAGTGTATAACAATAATCTTAGGCATTTAATTGTGTGTTTTAACTAGCATAAAAGTCTGTACCAGCTTTTATTAGCTTACGTTTTTTCTCGCTGACACTCAATAATCACTGCAATTATACATTTAGTTCACGAATAGTTTGTGTTATAATTTGTTTATTTTTTTTTTCAGATCATGGGAATATTTTTATGGGGTTACGTCGTGTACTCGAGGCTTGACACGACCCTCCAAGAATGGGTCGACGCACTTGAAATCTGGCAAGTTTATTTGGGAATGTACGTGTTGATATTTGCGTCAATTGTGGTGATCATAGCTCCGTTTTTGTCATGTTTTGCAGTCTATCAGGAACTCAGTCAACTACTCATGGCAGTGAGTACATTTTAAATGCTCAATATGAACCTTAATATTTTCTTTAAGCCACGTACATTCGATGTATATCGTTTCCTATCGGTACAGTTACGCATAATAATTGTTATTGACCGAATACGATATTATGTTGAACTGAAATAAATAATCATCCCATGCTGAAAAATAAATTATTACAAAACCATAATAATGTAACAACTAACGTTTGGACACCCAGGTTCTATTATTCAAACGTAGGCAAATGTATGAATATAATTAATTTAAGTTAAGCTAAGAGAACACAAGAAGGTTAAGATACAAAAGTATACAGTTAACGAATCATACATTTTATCTCGTTTTTATGGAAAAAGTTGAATCAGTTTAAAAAAAAGAACCCATTTACAATTTTAATTAGTATGAGGATCATATACAAAGTGACTGCGTTTTTTTAATTTCCTAAATTATAATAAACAATTGTGTTAAACTTTTGTTGTAATGTTCAGTGTATAAACTAATATATTTATTTTGATTTGAATGATTAATAAATATTCAAACTATACACATTTCAACTAATAATTTAACAAATATTATAATTGTTTGATTTTAAAAAGAAATTTGAATATATAATAGTTATATATGCCTATCTAATCCATTAAAATATATTTATATACAAAATTGTATTACAAAAAAAAAAAAAATAACAGAAATATTTGTGTTATTATAGTATTGGATTATTTTTAATTTAATAAATTTACGTAAGAGACCATAAAAACTAAAAATTTCAAAAAATGTGTAACTTGATAGATTACTTTTAAATCAACAGAAAAGAGCTAAGTTATTTCAACTTTCAATCAAACTAGTTAAGTTAACAAGTTGATTAAAACATTAACTAAATATTTAATCGTACCTTTGCTATTATTATAAACAGTTAATTATTAAAAAATAATCTAAATTTGTAGCATGCTGTTCTATGGCTTCAATTTAATTATTAACAATTAAATAACAAAATGTATTAGTTTATCCATAATATAACTACATAGGTGAGGCTTAAATTTATAGCCTACACACATGGCATAGATATACTTCGTTAATATTACCGTGCCTTCCAATTATATCACCGGTTACCACGTAATATTTTAAGCGATTAGGATCCCAGGAATATTAGTAACTTAAATAGTTTCACCCTTTAACCACAGTATGAGGTCGGTACCGAACTTTGACAAACAAAGCTAGTTTAACCATCATGGGTTCTCGCAGGGGGAATCGATCGATCGAATGAGGTTTTGATGGGGTCGGTAATAATAATATGGTTACCACTTTTCAAATAAAATACAATGTATACTGGCGGCGAGGTTTAGAATTCGAGGAAATATCAGACAACTATCTAGGAAGTGCATTTCAAAGGACAAATCTATTTCGGAATTCTTTGGGACAAGTTCCCACCAAACGTGGACGTGTTAAAGGGGTTTTGACGGAGTATAACCATGTGCCAATAACGACAGTCGAAGAGTAGTTGCCTGTGAATCGTTTTCCTAGCACACCTATGATGGGGACTTGACGTATCTCCATGCACCTAATACCACGTAACATAAACCTGTACCACCGTAGTGAGTTGGTAAAGTAATGCCCACGGTATGGTGAGATCGTATCGTGAGTAAACGGGAAAAGTAAAAGATGTAGAAAAAATTCTAAAATCCGTAGATGTAATAATCGTGGTTATGCTTTCTCCTGTTGAAATAAATCAAAGGCGGAGTATGGCAATGTGACAATAAAAACAGTCGAGAAGTGCTATAATAATGTATTATAATATTACTGTTATGTACCACCAGTAAATCGATCGACTTTGGTTTTGTTTCAATTTCAAGATGTTTCGAGTTCATTCCTTTGTGATTATTGTCTATCGCGTACCTAAATACATGATCTAGGACAAATGCCAAACCCAAATTTAGGGAGATATAGATCGTTGCGATCACTGCGTCCTTGGATTTCGGGGCGGTTATTCCTATATTCCCGGAATATATATTTTTTAATGCGTTCAAAACCGGCTTTAAAAAAATAAAATTATTTTAGTAGGAAGTATAAAATACAATTTTAGTTAATTTTATATCAAGAAAAATTACTTAATTATAATTAATATTATTAATTGATAACAATAATTAAATAAAGTAGGTACATAAAATGTAAGTTGTGAACTACACCATAAACATATGTTTATTATCTATATGATTGCACGTGGTAGTAATTTATATTAGGTTTTCTTGATCTATTCTTATGACACATTAGCTGCCCGACCTTCCACCGGAAGAAGTTATTTTTTGTAATTTAATTTAAAAACATAAGACTATTTTTTGGCTATACAAATAATACAACGTTTATAAAATAAAAAAAAAATAAAAAAAACAGACATCGTTATCGGTGAATATCTGAAAATAATTGGTATAATTAGTTAATTATTATTATTATTATAATGAGGGTTCAAAACCGGTTTCCTTCGTCTCCAAAATCAAGTTAGATTCTTATATATATAGATAGATTATAGTTATTACATTACAAAATTATACAATTATATTATACAGTCGTTAAAATGTAGGGATACAATTTTTTTAAAGTTAAAGCTTATACTCGTATGATGTCTCGGGGCACTGAATCGTTGTATGTATGGTTTTTTTTTCTGTACCTGGAGACATAATCCAGGACAAATGGATGTGGCCGTTAAAACGATTAATGAAAATAGCAGTGGACCATATGTCAAAATTAATTCGCCGAAGACATGACGTATCTTAATAATACCCTTAGAACCGCGTTATACATACCCGTACCACGGTCATGAGATGGTCAAGTGATGACCGCGGTACAGCGAGATCGGATAGGGAGCAAACGAAAAAAGAAATTTATACGGCTGCAAAATCCGCAGACGCGATAATCGTGAGTTATGCCGTCTCTCGTTGAAATCCATCAAAGGCCGGCTGGAGGTGGTGGTGGCGGCACAGGCAGTCCAACGGCGCACCCAAAGCCCACGAACGCTGCGCACGCGAACACTTTTGTTTACTCTCCGACTTCCGGTGGCCCATTCATTTTGATTAAACTTCCGTGATTTACGACTGGTTTGTTGGACGAGACGCCGAAATCTCGGGTATTATAAAGAATTACGGTTGGCTGCCGGTGATCCGGGTGGCGGTGGTGGCGGTGGAGGCCTGTGGGTTTTGATTTCCCGTCCAAAGGTCTGCGTCGGATATTCCTTCGTCGACGGGATCGGACCTTCTGAATGGAACAAAAAAGAAAAAAAACCGAACTAAACAAAAACGACCCTCTACCAATAAATTTTCTCGATCGGAAATCGGACAACGCGTTTTGTTAAAAAAAAAAAAATATCCTAATAACGATAGCTAACCGGGTGGGTGGTGGCAAGAGGTGGTATTATATTGTGCTACCCGTACATATACGTAAATAATATACGATACGGACCTTACTCGGAACGACTTTCAACGGAACCGTCAGGTCTCTACTGTAACTTTACTCAAAAAGACAAAAACTCACATTAAACAAAATTTTATTATAAGTATTCGAAATAGAAGTATTCATAATATTGGTTTAAACGAAATTGAACGACGACACTGTAAGCGATGTTCATACTATTAAAAATATTTACCTGACCATTATTATATCATTTTTTCATCAAACGAATAATATAATAATAAATTATATTTGTTAGGTCACGTTGTTAATTGACTCGATATTAAAAAAAAAAAACCTAAATATTTTCATAAGCTGAACGGGATGACGAATTTGTTTTTTCAATAAAAATTCTTGAGAAATATATCATTTTAACACAACTTGAGAATAATGTCAAAGTTAAATCGACGGAACCGATCGTTCCGAGAAAACTATTGCAGCTTTTCTCAAAAATTCAAATCAATCAAAATCTTACTTTATTCGAAATTGAATTCTACATAATGTATCGATTTAAACTCAATCAAAAAATGACTCTTTAAGTGGTGTTATTATATTATGTACAGTTTTCTGTCCACTGTGAAATTTTACATTAAACGAATCTTTATTGATATTTTAAATATGAAAGTCTGTCTGCCTGTCTGATTGTCTGGCTATCTGTCTGTCTGTTACGTTTTCACGCCTAAACTGCTGGTTCAATTTTGATGAATTTTGCTATAGAGATATATGAGACCTTAAAGAAATACTTCAGCTACTCATTGGCTCTAAACTCGAAGGGGATGAAACATGGAAATCTTATATTTTGTTTTATACAAATGGTTGTCATTGGTTACAAATTAAAATAATAATAATAGAAATTAGTAGGTATTAACATTGTTTTGTAAATTACGTTCCGAATTATTTACAAAATATGTTATCTGTTCGTCGACATGCCGTGGCGCCCGTGCAGTCTATCGTAGTCACGCAGGGCAGGTTACGTAATTAAGTTATGTTAATAATAGTTTATTTATTTTGTTTAATAAATGTAGTATACATTATATTGCAATTTTGTATTTTGTTTTTTCTCTTTATTAGAGAGGTTTTTATTATCAGAAACAATTTTGTATAACTTTGAAACTTTAGAGTTATAAATTATACACTTACGTACCTACACACAATCAACCACTGGTGGATTGACTATCTGATAATATACTGTTCGCATAATCACAAAACCTCAATCTTTATTACCTCATCGAGTCTCACGAGAACTCTATTTAGCACGGTCAACGTAGGGAATGGTAATATGATATATTAAATTTGTTAACGGGTGTGGCTTGATGTTGAAAAAAATATGAATTTCGAAAACAACAATTTTGTAGTAAGAGAAACAGGATGAAGGTTATTTTTAAATAAAATAGTTAAATAACTATCTAATCAACAAAATATTTTATTCCTAGGTTAGAAAACATTATTTTTAGGTAACAAAAATATATTGCTATTGTGATATAAAGCATTTATAAATGAATTTATTTTGTGTAATACATTATTTATATTTCAATAAAAATGTAAAATTGTAGTCAAATATTATACCGTTT